GCAATAGGCATAGTATACGATCAAATGCCCGCCTTGTTCTTGCACAGCTGGCAGATCATGCCAGGGGCTTGAGTACCGACCGAAGCTGCATCCTGCAGCTTCAGTCGACCACAGACCGATGTGTCTTCGTGGACCCTACGGTCAAAAATGTGGCATCTAAGATCCGACGAACTCAAAGCACTAGCTGGCAAAGAACTTTTTACAATGAACTCAGGCACGATCGGTTCTGTCACCTCTTCGTCTTCTTCCTCCACAACGAACTGGGTCTGATCCGGCACCCATGATTGCCTGAGCTTCTCTGTCATGTTCTTGACCATGGCGACCGACAGCTCCTTGCGCTGGCGAGCGTACTTCAAAACCAACTGGCTGGGATCTTTCCAGTTGGCCTGTAGGCCCACAATCTTGTCGTCCACCTGAGCCTTCACCGCCTCAGAGAGCATTGTCACACGCATTGAGTGCCAGGTGACCTCCCTGACCGCCTTCTCGAGTTCATCCATCTCATTGACCTCCACCAACTTGAGAATGCGAGCTTCGTTGATTCCCCTCAGCATAAATGCCTTGAGCCACGAGAGGCCGCGAGAATAGGTCACCGGAGCTTCGTTGAACTCCTTCTCGGACTTGAGCTCCCATACAAAATAGTCTCGATCCGAGATGTGCGGCTTGAACAAATCCCATCCCATTGCGAGCCATTCTACTCCAGAGATGGAACAGGTCGGCACAGCAAATCTAGTGCCCCTCCTCTTCCTTTCGACCTTTGTTTGCCAAACCACTCCAAGAAGAGCTTCTGGGGTCATCTCGAGAGAGGAGGGTGCCACGTGCACCCCATCGGCAAATCTCAGCGATGCGTAGATCAAAATCAAAACCCACCAGACTGTGATCGCCGCTGCATTCTTCTTCTCGAAGATGAGCTTGGGCAGCATGACCTCCAGCGATAGCGAGCTTCGGTGGTAGCGGAATGGCCTCCTTGAGCTCTTTGCCACGTTCTGCATGAACTGTGTCAATCAGAGCCTTAAGGCGAGCGTCGCCCATTTCTGGGCAAGACATGGCCAACCGCTTGCAGATCCAGCCCACGGCGTATTTGAAAGATGGCAGTACTGCTGGGCCACACCCCTGATCGCGGAGGTGCTGTGAATACGACATCACGGCCACGATCGTTGGGGGGTAAACACGGAGGCCTCTTCCGGCCGACCACTCCTCAAACTTTTCCCAGTTTCTGACATTTTGTCTGATCGTCCTGAAGCCCCCAGCCTCGAACGCCAGCGCCCGGAGCCGAGCGGCTTCAGCGGGGGCAAGGCCGATGCACTGAGCGGGGTCGTTGATCCCTGCTGCACTGCCGGCCCTGTCACAGATCTGTGACAAACGCCTACCCCACTTCTTCTTTTCTGTGTTCTCGGCGTCCTGGATCGAGGACACTTGAGCCGCTGAACCTTGGCCTGCTGGCAACACGCCTACAGAGCCTGGGGGCTGCACAGCCACGATCACCTGGCTTGCCGCCCTCTTGAATCCGACTCTGGGTGGCTCGGCTGATCCGTATCCAAGATCCGAAGCGATCTCCGCTTGGACCCTGCTGGACGAGCGCGCCACCATGTCGGCCAAAAGGTTGACCATCTCCAATCTGACAAGGATCTTGTCCAAGATCTCTTGGTCATCAGTAAGAGCTGGCAAAAACGAAGAAAACTTCTCATCAGCCGATTCGAAATCATCATCCGACATGGCTAGCCAGAACTCTACATGATCCATCTTCAGATCTCTCAAAACAGACCTAAACTGGTCATCAAAAATTGGGAGACCTAAAAACCTAGAAATGGAACGGTCCATGACGCTCGAGCTAGCACGCTTGATCCCTAAGCGCTGAGGGCCCGGAGCGAACTGCAATCAGGACCCATGCACCGCTGGCTGAGGATCTCGCCTGCAGTGCGTTCCGATAGCTGGATCTAGCTATCATCCACCCCGATCGGGTTGGACTGGATCAAATGAAAGGATCTAGAATAAAAGGACAGATCGTCCTACTCTGAAAACCCAGCCAGGACGGTGGGGATCTCACCATCCTGGGTAACCCTAAATTAGGTGGGATCTACCTAACATGGGTTACAGGGGAACGGACTAATTAACATCATCGAGGATAACCCGGGAACAAACCTACAACCCTACAGGTTAGGATCCTAACCTATGTAAGGAAGGCTTACCCAGACCTATCAACCAGTAGCCTCATCGTGGATCGCCCGATGGGAGGAGGGGGGAACCACCAAGACCGGGATGGATCTACCCGACCGGTTGGTCGCCCCGGGACTAGATCTTCCCAACCCCCAGCTGATCAGCTGCACATGACTGCGAACGCATCCGTTCAAGAAAAAGATCAAAGAGCTAAGTCACGGCTGAGCAGCAGGACCTGAACATGGAGAAATAAATCACTGTTTTTCATCTCAAATAAAGTCGATGAGCTACTATATTAAAAAACCGCTGCAAGTCAAATTGACCGCAGATAAAAACCGGACCTACGACATGATCTGCCCAAGGCCAAGAGCTCTTCAGTCAGGGATCACCCCTTTAGAGCTCACCGATCGGCACAGAGCTATGCATCGTGTGTAGTGGGTCCGAACGACACCGGCCCCATCGAGCCGCCTGCAGGGACCCAAAGTGGTGCCTGCGACTGCGACGATCGTGCCTGCGCCGCTTGCTGTGGCTCAGAGCTTTCATCCACCTCTTCGATCTTGGCCGTCGATGTGTTGTAGGAACGGCGCATCATCTCCTCAGCAAAGATCATGGGTGTGAGCCCTGCAGTCGACCGCGCAAATCTGCGATCCATGCGAGCCCTGTCACGTTCATCGTCGACCATGTGCCCTGCTTCACCCCGATTGGAGTGGCGGACGTTGAACGAGCGTTCATCCAGCTCGATCCCCGCCTGCCTGCTTGCTGCAACCAATTCACCAGCATGAGCAGTTGGTTGATCGTCTTCTGCAACTTCTGCACGGAGCCAAGCATCCGACGTCAATGCCGGAGGGCCAACCGGAGCTGGGGCTGAGCTCGTGTGGCGCATCTCTGCCAGAGCTTTCTGTGCCACGATCTCCGGCGCTCTCTCAAAGAGCTTGGACTTTGCCTGAACATGGAAATTTCCAGGCTCCAAACATTCCACAAAAGCGAGCTTCACCCCCACATCGTCTTCTGATTCACAAACAGAGCTCTTCCACCAGCCTTCGTGAACGGCAGCAAGTTGGGCGAACTGCTCTGTCTGTTCAGGTCCCTCGACCCTGGCTTTGTTTTCACGAACTGACTTGATCGTCTGGATCAAGGTCGGACCAGAGATGTGGGAGACTGTGAGCCAAGTCCCTGGCACTGATGTGCGAGAGCACTTGAGATCAATGCGGTTGTTGGCATCTCTGAACCTCATCTCGATGCGATCTGCGTCATTGCCCACAGCGTCATCTGAGGCGCGAGAGCAGACGCGCATCTCAAACCTCGAGCGGGCAGAGTCGCCAGCCACAACTGAGCCTTTGGGGCCGATCGAGTATGTTCGACCGCCACACTCAAAACTCAGCACTGAGACCCGCCAGCCAAGGAACACGGCCACGACCACAGAGAGCCTCGGCTGACCTTTGCTAGCTTCGCGAACGAAATACTCATCCACGAACTGTTGCTGCACCGTGAGGTCAGTGTCCGAACGGAAACCTCTGAAGATCCAGTGGAAGAGAATCTCATTTCCATTATAGATCTTCAGGTCCACATAGGATGCCGACGTGTCACGGAGCATCGGCCAGCTGAATGGCTGAAAAGCGGGGTGGGCCAGAGCCTGAGCAGTCTCTGCGTCCCACCCTGCACAGGTGTTGCCAGTGTTTGACTCGATCGAGATGGCGATGACCACCTTGATTCCGTCAAGGGTGTAGTTCCCAAAGAGCGCGAGGTGAAAGCCGGAGTTCGGCGGCATGACCTGGTCCCGTTCTGTCAGGACGTTGATCGAGCTCGCCGCATTTGCCATGATCTCCGAGACCAACCAGGTCTGAAAAGGAGAAACCATACGATCGTCTCGGTTGTCAATGACGATCATTGACTGATCCTCTGGCTCCGGCCCCTCCGCGATCGGTTCCATGAACCGTGGCATCTGCACAACATAAGGGTTGTGTGCCATGTTGGGGCCCGATCGTTGCCCACTCCATTGACCTCCTCCGCCTCCACCGCCACGGCCTTGAGCTCCGTATCCAGCATTCCAAGAACCAGAGCGGCGTGACATGGCTAGAACGAGAGGAGGAATGAAATGAGCGAAGGGTACACCCAGGCCCTGAGCTTTTCGCACTCAGGAAATAGATCGAGAGATCTTCCATTTGGCATCCACTGCTGATCAAATAATAAATAAAAAATTCAAATAAGAACATCCAATTGATCAAATCATGGTGAACACCATGCATGACGTGACGCGATCGACAGAGCAGCTGATGGTGGCAGAGAACTGAAATTGACCCACATATCCCAACCAAACCAGACCGAAGATATGTGAACAGATACATAGATAGATAGATAGATAGATAGATAGATAGATAGATAGATAGATTAGATAGATAGATAGATTAGATAGATTAGATAGATTAGATAAATTAGATAGATTAGATAGATAGATAGATAGATAGATAGATAGATAGATGGATGGATGGATGGATGGGTGGATGGATGGATAGATAGATAGATAGATAGATAGATTAGATAGATTAGATAGATTAGATAGATTAGATAGATTAGATAGATTAGATAGATTAGATAGATAGATAGATAGATAGATAGATGGATGGATGGATGGATGGATGGATAGATAGATAGATAGATAGATAGATTAGATAGATAGATAGATTAGATAGATTAGATAGATTAGATAGATTAGATAGATAGATAGATAGATAGATAGATGGATGGATGGATGGATAGATAGATAGATAGATAAGAAACACAGATACACAGATATCTCCATCATGAACTTTGGCTGATATCTCCATTCTCCTGCACGGGTCGATCGCCTGTGCCATCGCTCAAATCTTGGAGTTGCTGGAGCAGCCTTTGCCTCGGCGTAGAATCGGATTGGAGTTATCGGCTGGTTACCAACAATTTGCCCTAAACCCTAGAAAAAACTCTGAGATAGACTGGTACAATATAATATATTGACATATGTGTATATATATATGTGTGTGTATATATATATACATTTACACGTATAGAAACATATACTGGTCAATTGGCAGCCCTACTATTGCTTTGCAAGTTGATATATTGGTGTGTCTGAAAATGGGGTATACACCCATTTTGACACTACTTTGATGGAGAACATGCCTATCAACCATTGGATTTTAGGGTACCCTATTTTCAGACAACCCTCTGGTAAACTAACATAGCTATTGAAAATGGCCATTTATAGTGGATTTACCCATTGAAAATGGTGATTTTCCATAGTTATGTTAGTTTACCAGAGGGAAACCCATATTGATATACTCTGACTGGAATTTAGAATTCAATCGCATTTTGATCGGATGATTGGTCAACGATACGACATTTGAATCCCCAAAACTGGCGAATCCAACGTCTTCCACACCGGGGCAACTGCTGCTCTTGGCGTCTCTCCTGGATTTGGATCTCCAGTTCTTGGCCTAAAATGGCGAGGCAATTTTTGGGGACGACAGCCCATATGTTAACAAACGATCCTTTAATCCCCGAGATCATGATGGTTCATCATGATAGGGGGTTCATATTTCTTGTAAATTCATGGGGATTATATAAATGTTGCTTAGTCATAATTGTACCATGACAAACCCAAATCACAGCAATGCAGATCCTGTGCTGCGCTCCACACTTCTTTGAGCCAAGCAGGACCCTTTGGAGCTCTCGTCGTACCTTCACTCGTGTTCAGCTGTTTGGCAGCAAACAACACTGCACTTCAAACAGTACCCACACAAGAATAGACTCAGTGCAAACATGTGCAAACAAAAGTGCAAACGTGTTGCAAACATTTGCAACCTACCCTGGAGTCACATCTGACCACTCAGCCAAACAAGCCGGCTAGACTCAGGACAGGAAGCCTCTCGTTCGTCACAACTCGCCTGCTAGACTCAATGTTCCAAGCTTTGGGCAGCGCTTCTGCAGCGTAGATGTCAAATCCCGGGTATGCCACAGTCCCAAAACATCCCAAAACAAGATTCTTTTTCAGGTCCTCTGGTCACATCTGGTCACAATGGATCCACATCAAGAAAACTTGTTGTGGCAAATCACCGGAACCTCCAAGGCTTTAAGCTCATCTTCTTCACTCCGCACACGTCGCTCTCGTTCCACGAGACGTTTGCGGATGGGTTCTACCTGCAAAGGGTCACAAATTGATAGCTAATTGGTATAGCGTATAGCTATGTCATTAGGCTTTCAAGGTGGGCTTTCAGCTCCTTGAGTTCTACCATGGCCAGGCCGCAGGTGAAAGTCGCAGATGCCTGCGATTCAATCTCTGCTAAGAGATTCTTGTCGGACTCCAAAGTCCATTGCTCCCTCTCAACCTGCCAGCTATTGCGAACAGTTGTGAAACGCGGCGAAATGTGGCTCGACAGGTCTATCCGCCTCATCAAGTAGATGGCCAAGGTCATCGAACTCCGACTGCAAGGACAAGGCCTGGCACAAATCCATTGGTTTATCATTCTTCCCCCTATCAAAAATATGATATTTCCATGGTTTTCCCATGGTTTTCCCCATGAACATTCTGCCGCTTCCCTTTAGTTCACTAATATGTTCATATGATTCATATCAAATTTCTTGCTAGTTGTGGAGTTGTGGATGTTAGAGTTCATCGTAGATCATCATAGATAACTATCCCCTGGTGATTTCTCAGAGCTGCCTCCTGTTCAGCAAGGTCACGTTGATCCTGCAAACGACTGATCTCCTGCTCCACCAAATTTCTGGCCTTGGCCAGTTGGGACAGCAATACCAAGGCGGGTACCAGTGATCAAACGTGGCTGGCTTGGAAATCCCCTATAATAGAGGTTTGAATGGGAAAATCATCTAAAGAGGTAGTGCAAAATGGGCTGATTTTGATACTCACTGCTGGAGTTTTTCAGAATCCAGAACTGCTGTTGCAACCCCAAATACTGTAGTCTTTCTGCGAAGTATTTTTGTATCCACTTGGGTTCCAAGAGATCAAGAAGCAGGTTTGAAACTTCCACGCTATAGCACCATGATGTTTGGTGATACCCCATGTTTTGTTTAGTGTAAATTTCCCCATCAAAACTTGAAACTTGAAACCACCAGTCACCAGTCGCTGCAAACAACCAGCTGGACCTCAATCAGGTCAGACTCGTCTTGAGCCAACGCTGATTCTTTCTCCACCACCTGGAGGACTTGACAACATCAATGGTGCTGGATGTTCATCCCTACATCCGCGAAGATGCTTTCAATAAAGCAACCAGGACAGCTGCCAAAAGCCTCACTAAGTTTGGAGGTCGAGGGCCATGGGCTTCCGCTTCAAAATATGACCAAGTTGTGACGATTTTGGGATCCCCGACGCCGGAAACCCTCAACTCCCCAGTTTCGTGCTGGAATCTCCAGTCTTCATGAGCAACACTCCCCATTTCTGATGGTTTAGTCAGTTTTGTTCCATGTTTTCCTATAGATCATCTACTCCACTCACAGCTTTTTAAGTCGATCCCAGCTCCGCAAAAAAAACGGCACCTTCAGCTCCAACTCACGCAACTCCGCGGCCGCTCGGGCCAGGTCCTCCTGGAGTGCAGTGGATCCCTGTTTGTAATGCAATATGATATCATGTATGCATAGTGTGTATTATATATATATTTACTATTACTAATTATCATCATTATTATTAGTATTATTAGTATTATCATTAGTAGTATTATTATAATTATATATATATACAGGTTTCCTAAAATGGTGGTACCCCAAAAATCATGGGTTGAATACTAAAAGGGTCTCATTTTGGATGATTGGGGGCAGCCCTATTTCAGGAAACCCCATATACATGTCGTAAACCTCCACTTGGAGATGGATGAGGATGGTTTTTGTAACCCATTTCTGGCAAAACTGGCATGGCTGCTACGTTACTACTGGGCTTCCCACGCTATTTCCTTTCGTGTCATTCTGGAACCACAGTAGATTCTCGGGCCCAAGAGAGGCATGTCTTGCGGAGGATGTTTTCAGGTCGAGTAGATGCTCCAAAGCCCCAAGTCAAGATTCATTCAGGTTGAGTCGTTTGTTCCCTCTCATCCCTCTCCTGAATTGTGGGGCCTGTCCTACCGTTACAAAACAGTGCAAACTATGCAACCTTATCAGGCCCCTGCTTTGCTTCATCCAGTGTTTCTGTGCAGCAATCGGCTGTCCTCTGAGACCTCAAGAGCCTTCCAAGACCCACAAACACCAAAGATGCCACTAGAGCTGCATGAAGAAACAGACCAGTTTCACATCCCCACCAAACAAAAGTGGAATGATTTATCATGGAGGCCCAAGAAAAGTGTCGTGCTCAGGCACTGCCTTCTCCCTCTCGCGCGCATCCTCAAGTGCCTGCCTTGCTTCTGAACACGCGGCCTGCACTTCAGCATGGGTAGTTTGTGCCATGGATTGATGTATCAGCTGGCAATGACCGTGTGACATGGTCCCACTCCTATACTCCTGGGAATCCTTGTAATTGATGATGATTGCGATGATGTATCCGCAACCGATGGATGTCCAGCCCATATCGATAAAACTTGATAAAACCCCAGTAAAGTCCGTTGCTCGTGTCGTTATTGTGACATCAAAGAGGAAGTCACCATGAGCTCTGTGCATAGCAATGCATAATGACGTTGCATCAATGCAACATTTGCAAAAGAGCTTGCCGTGTTGCATCGAGAAACGAGACATGACCCAGCTTACAAAGAAAGCCTTGATGTTTGCACATGTGTTGATCGATCTTGGCAGCCCATGTGCTCGGTTGTCAGCAAAAAAAGATGCCGTCGCATATATGATGTTGCATACAGATGCATACAGTACTCGCAGTACTTGAAGTCAAAGGAAACATGATTTCTATTGATTTCTTCATATTTCTTCCCTTCTGGATGTCAACAGATTCGCTCCATCGGTAAGCCCCTTGGCCATCATAGACCAGGCTCCAGCCTCAACATCTTCTTGAGACCTTGGTGGACGAAAGGTTTCCTGTGCTGCCATTGCTGATTGATCCCGCCTTAAGAACCCAGACAACTCAATTTGTTTTGAGTCTGAAACCATGTTTGATTGGCTCCAAACAATAAATGGTAAAGTAATAAATGAATAATAAATGGGGATATCGGGATGTTCTCAGAAGCTTTTTACAGAGTCTCTCACCAGCGCAACTCTTCTTCAGCTGCTTCCAGCCGCTTCAACTCAGCATCCAGCCCTGCACCATCAGTTGCCCTAAAGAAACTTTGCGCCGTGGCGAAGTTTCATCAAGTCTATGGTACCAGTGATCTTTAAGATTTGTAAATGTGGATAGTGGAGAGTTTCCTGATATTTCTGGGATTAGGATGGATTTGGAGATGGAGACACTACTGTATCAAGCTGTGGTAGATAAAGATGATAAAGGTGGTAACGTCTGGGGTAGAGTCGAGTCTTGCGCAAAACTGTACAGAAGAACAATCATCCAGGCACTGTTGAAATCGAAAACCAAAAACCGAAGCCCGTGGTGCTCCTGATGGGTGCAAATCCTAATATGTTTTCTCTGCCAAACTTGCAGCCCAACACAGCCCTGAATCCAAAAACGCACCTCGCAGTCTTTTCTCCAACTCCTCCTCTCTTGCTGCAGCAGCGTCTGCACGAACAGAAAGACTGCAACCTCAGAGATCTTTCCCGCTGCATTGCACGCCGATTCAGCAAGTGTTGAGGGCAGCGGCACTGTGGCACTAAGTTCTCCGCTTTGCACCATGATTCTTTCATGCCTTGGAGACTTCAAAAGCTGCTGATTGCAGTCATTGTTCAACTGCCAGGCGGCCAGGCTCATCCAAAGTGTGGGTGTGTCTGAAATGGGATAAACCATGGTAAACCAATCAAATATGCATTCCAGTGTGAAATACCATAATTATAATAATTATCATTAATTATCCGTAATTGACCATCAAAATTAGGGATACACTGGATACCGTGCTTTCAAACACACTCGAATGGATGTAAATGGTCGCTGTTGAAGTGCTATTTTCAGTGCTGAGACTTTGGCTCCTCTTCCAGCTGCTGACCTGATCCGCACGTGCACCTCAGCAGAACAGCGCAAAACAGTGTAAAAAATAGCCTGTATCAACCAACATCAACCAACATTCCAGTTGAACCTCTTAAAGCATCTTCAAACATCAACCAAGAAACGGTCGAAACTCACCAACAGATACCATCCGAAAAACAAATCATCCAAGCTACCCCGAAAGGACTGGGCTCGCCATGGTTTCGAGCTCATTGTTTTGCTGCTTGCGCACGCGCGGCTCCATGCGAGCTCGAGCCATGTCCAAGACTGATTTGTCAAATGTGGATGGATTTTTCCAAAGACAAAATACTATGGAAACATATGGAAACATCCCCATTGGAAACGTGGAAACATATGGTTTCACCATTGGACACTTTTTTGGTATTTTTTGGTGTTTATCGTACCCCAAAACGTCTCGGTGAAGCGGTGAAGCCTCCACGCAGCTACACTCGAAACTGCTCACATGAGTTGGTTGAAGGAAAATCATGGAAAATCTACTGGGAACAATCAGGGAACCAGCTTTTGACACCCACATAGGGATTTCCTGCAGATTTTCTATCAAATTCACTCTGTGATTCGAACTTCTGCGACCTCATACACTGTGAACCTACTTTGGAACGCTACCCGGAGAGCCAAAATGCCGGATGGCTTTCTGTGAGCAAGTACGGCTGCAGGGCTGCAGGAGTTGTTGGCGAAAGCTGTCGAAGACCTCGAGTCAACTCTCAAATGAATATTGGGTCTGGATATTGGGCTGCTTAAAGTGCCGCATACACACACACCACATCACACCACTAACTTTGGGGACCACTACTGCTCAACGCGCTGACAGTGGAGTTGAGAAGTCCATTCTTCAGAGTCCCTGTCAGCACGATGTTTCCCCTAGCATAGCGAAACTTGTCGTCCGCATACGCACTGCTTCGACAGCACGAGATGCACTCAGACTCTCTCGGATTTCGCCGCAGCGACCAATTAGCACAGGGACATGCTATCCCTGCGCCGGCGTGTACTGAGCCTATCAAAGCCCAATGCAGTCACAGGCAGATCAGGCCGAGTAGACTTTCAAGGAATGATCCATGGAGACCGACGCAAGAGTCTTAGCGTTTGGACCTCGCCAGCACGTTGCAGCGCGCAATGCGCCATACGCAGAAAACGAGCTGCCACAGTGCAAATTGATGAAGATTGATGGCAAGAAGAAATGAGGATGGCACCCCAGGAGAGGCCCGTCACTGCATCTGTGTGGTCCTTACATTCAAGTCATTCACTTGCAATGCATACCAATGGAGATGTGTAGAAGAAGTGCTGCTCTCCAAATTGACTGGTCCACACTGGCCTTGAATGAGACTGTCTCGGTGAGACTTGTCTTTGTCTCAAAGTTGAAGACCTGTTCGATGGCCATGTGCTCATTCCAGGCATTCCAGTTTTCCAGGGCAAACTTAAATTTATTACTCTTACTCAACACTTTGCAGTTCCAAGAGGATCCATACTTTCATCTATATTTATACCCTTTGGATCCCTTTGGAAGTCTTGGGTGGCCCTATAAAGCAAAGAATAAAGCAACGAAGTGTGAAGTGACACGCTATGCGGAACCTGTACAATGTTGCTTGCCACGGCCAAGTATTGCCTCGGGTGTCACAGTACAGTCCACGCAAGGCGGCACATTTTCTTGATGGGACGAGGCCAAAGCCCTGTAGCATCGAAGCAGACAGAGCTGACTCCACCTTCAACCTGCAAAGAACAGGGGCATGATGGCATGATGGGCATGTGAAAGTTGCCAGGTGTCAAAACATTACTAACAATAAATAATACTAACCTCAGAAGAGTTAGGCATCAGCTCTGGATCTGTACCTGGAGTGTTTGCAGGTTCACTGGCTTGCGCAAGTCCCAAAGCCTCACAGCTGAAACCACCAGTGACTGTAACCAAGAGCAACAACCAGCCCCAGCCATAGCAGCCATGACGTGCTCAAAGGTTGGTTGATGTTGGTTGATGTTGGTTGGAAGTCTGTTTCTGGGCTCTCGAGCTTGACAACTCCATCACGTGATCCAGATGCCAAGTAGTAGCCATTTCCGGAGAACGACAGGGTCTGCGGGGATGCCACGGGACGATGATTCGTGACGATGCCACGGGATGTCTAAATACAGCCCGCCTGGACGGCACTTTCATGGCCCTGGAGAGTGGCTACTGTGGCCTGGAGACACAACAGCTGACTGCTGCAGGTCCTGTTTCATGATTTTCATGATTACATCTACAGTGGATCAATCTAGATCATAGGAAGTGACTGTCTCAGCGGAAAGCAGCGTATGAATGTTGTCACCAAGACTTTGCAGCTTTACTCCTCGCCTGCTCGTTCTTCACGTCCCAAATAATGACGCTCTTGTCCTCCAGCCATGCCATGCTGCTATGTGGACCGGGGCTAGCACAGAAACTCTCCAAAAATTGGTGGAACAATTGTGAGCCCACATTTTCTGTGAAAACTGCTGCAGGAGTCATCTAGAAATTTCTAATTAAAACAGCTGCAGATAGCTGTCCTCAGTTCCACCTGCAACAATTAGACCATCCGGGTGGAAGCTCATGCAAGGGAAGGCAGAGTCCAGATCCTGGACCAGGGCGGCGTTGCGCCTCTTGGACGTCACCCATTTTTTATGCCACGATAAAGAACTGCAAAGAACACACACTAACAGTTAATATATGGTTAATGATGGTTAATGATGGTTAATAGTGGTTACAGTTCTTGATTTCCCATCTGTGATCATATTTCAGGGTTTGGCTTGGTGGCCCAAATGGGTCAATTTCAACTCTCATGCCTGCAATGCCTGCACTGTTCCAGAACCATCCCTTCTGATCTCTTCAACATGAACAAACCCTGGTTAAGTGTTGGTGTTACATGGTGTTACACCCATTCCACCCAAGGAGTCACAAGTTGCTTCTAAAATGGTACAGCCATTTTAATTCGACAGCCCAGGGGTCACATTCCCAGGGCTGACAACTACACCAAAGGGCGCCTTCATGTGTCTCACACAGCGCCCTGTAGCGAAGTCATGGATCGCCCATGACTTGTCCAGTGATGCGGTCAGTAGGTAACTGGGCGGAGTCAAACTGGATGCTTTAAGCAACAAAGATGCAGGATTTCACCATATTTCACCCCAAAAGTGGATGGTTTGATGCCAAGAAGGGCCAAAGAGCCATGATTTCCAGGGTCAGTGCGCGGCAGCTCGTGAGAGTTCAACCAAAAGATGAGCACCGCACTCTCCCAATGGATGAATGGAGAGATCAGTCACTTCTGCGCGATGCTTGTGGATCGTGTGCAAGCAAGTGTACCTGGAACCATGGGCAAGTTCTGAGACAAAACCTCAACTCAACAGATTCTACCAGTTTCTACCAAATTCCAGCTTCGCAAAAAGCCACAAGCAATGCTTTTTAAATGTAACGCCAAAATGATTCAAAAGCAGTTTGTCACCATTTTGGTAGGATTTCGCCAAGATTCATACAAAGTCTATCTTTTTCGGGTTTGAGATAATTGCTGCTAAACCATGGCTTTTGGCACATCAACCGCCCGGGCACGGGCTAGTCCAGTCTGCACTGCCACACGTCCAAACCTTTGCAGTGGCATCTTGTGATGCAGAGACCACCACGTCTTTGTCACCATGGAGCTTCACTGCAGTGACCTGCGAAGTTGAAGAGCTGGGTTTGTCCACAAATCGATAAAATAGGGGATTCCCCAAAATGTCATTCCAATATTTCCAATGGGAAAAATGATGACCCGTCTTCAGGCGAAGCTATATATCCTGTATGTCTTGCAAGGCGCCTTTTTGGAGTGTCCGACCATCGTCTGCATCTTCTTTTGCTTCTGAGCGTTGTACAGGACCACCTGTCAGCCCAGTTCTTGAAAAAAACGTGGTGATGCCAGCGGTGCACCATGTGTCATCCCCTTCCAATGTTTGGGGCTCCCGTATAGCCACTTCGTATGATCCCATCTACATCAACTGCCAGGGATTTGAGTATTCGGAGCAAGCTCACCTGACAGTCTACACCTCCAGAAACGATTCGATTTGGGTCTGCCTCCACATTTCACAGCGAAAAAGTTTTTCATACGATCAACAAACAGGTGCAATAGCTGAAAAGCGTGTAAACATATGTCCAATCCACACAAGTATACCTGACAATTTTGCTCACATCTTGCTTCTTGACTTTGTTGACTCTTCTGTCGCATTCACACATCCATGTTGATAAACTGGGAAAAGCTGTATCTCTGCCAGTGGCCTTGTGGACATCTACACAAAGCACACCAGCTGCGGTTTTATGATGGAAGGTGTTCTGCGACTGGGCACATTTGAACCTCCAATCGAGTGGAAAACTTCGGATCGATGGCATACTGGACTCAGCTAAAGGGGAGGCCTCTTCACCTCCTCTATTGGGCTTAGATCTGGAAATTTCCGCCTCGGTCACATCTGAATAGACATGTTGCAACCCGATTTATTATATAATGGGTCACTGCTTGTGTTGAAGCCATTGGTGCGCTGAGAAGTGGACTGCTTGCGAGTCTTAGCCAAGCTCTGTGCTAGTTCCTGAAGCTGAGCTTAATGGATGCTGCACCAGGTGGATGGTTCCAACGGTTCCATGGGACTCGGTGCCCTCTTGGTGTCCTCCATCCGCTGGATAATCTGGGCAGAAAGGCCGGTTTCGCCCTGCCACAGAACTTCAATGTCTCACAACTCTCACAACAGCAAAACCAAATGAATTTCAAATGAATCTGATCTTTAAAGCAATCGGTTTTGACACAATTTTTGATGGATTTCACTTGCTGGTTGTCCATCCCTAACCCATACCCGTTAATGTTGCATAAGGATATGGATCAACCTTAAGTACCCCAAATGCAATGGTTGTTTACTCCTATTTCATGAGTGATTTTGCAGAACCTCCAACTTTGACACTTTACCAGAATTTATCCTTTTGTTGGCGTGCATCTTCCATGTTTGCTGCTCTTCAACATTTTGTTGTTGGTGGATATTATACAGCTATGTGATATGTGCATGTATGCAAATATCATATTATATTGTATCATGTAAATTGTATTGTATTATATCATATCATATCATATCATATTGTGTTTATATCATATAATATTTATATTTAATTTATATTATAGTATATTAAAATATCATATTATCTAATAATAATAATATATGTATATGTATATATTATGACATATTACATTACATTATATTATATCATATTACATTACATTATGTTATATCATATTACACTACATTATGGTATATCCAATCATATCATATCATATTATATATATATAAACTATGTTATGTTATGTTATATTATAGTATGTTTATATTATATTTACATTATAATATATTATACTGTTATAATATATTATATTATATTGTATTATATTATATTATACTGTATTATATTATATTATATTATACTGTATTATATTATACATGATATTGTAATATATTATAATATATATGATATATTGTATTATATTGTATCATATAAAAAAAAATATATATATTATATTATATATTATATATTATATATTATATAATATATATTATATATTATATATTATATATAATATATAATATATATTATATATTATATATATTATTTAAGGGCTGCCGCCCTTGCCGCCGACCCCGGAAGAATGGTCAATGAATGAAACCAAATTGGCATCAATATTCTTCGGTGCTTCGCACTTTTAGGTTTTCCCCTTTTTCATATGTATATTTTTATGCAATATATTAATATATTTGATAAAATATTTTGATATAGTAAGAAAACCCACCCACCAAACCCCTTCACCCCCCTGAGCAGTTCCTCGACGACTTCAACCAGAGTGTGGGTCTTGAGCTCGTGAAATTATTCATTTTATTAAGTAAATAAACCTTCCCATTTATCCCCCCTTTTTGTGGCAAGGTGCTGTGCTGTTCCGTGGCAAGGCGCAGAAACGAAATAAAATACACAGGTATTATGTCCGGTACTAATGGTGCTGCAAATCTCCAAAACGCATTCTTCGCCACACCGAAACAACATGCTACTGAAGGACGGAACGACCTCCAAAAACATGCTGCCCCGGGGCTTGACGTCCCTTCTGGATTCTAGTAAAAACAAAGCGAGTTCAGCTGCTGGGCCTGCTGGGCCTGCTGCTGCTGCTGCTGCTGCTGCTCCTGCTGCATGCTGCGGGTGGTGCTGCTGGAGGTGGTGCTGCAAGCCTCCAAAACGCACCCTTCGCCACACCGAAACACCATGCTACTGAAGGACGGAACGACCTCCAAAAACATGCTGCCCCGGGGCTTGACGTCCCTTCTGGATTCTGGAAAAAAAAAGAGATTGCAGCTGGGCCTGCTGCTGCTGCTGCTGCTGGAGCTGGTGATTGCAGCTGCTGGGCCTGCTGGGCCTGCTGCTGCCCCTGCTGCTGCTGCTCCTGCTGCTGCTGCTGGTGCTGCTACTAGAGGTGATGCTGCAAGCCTCCAAAACGCACCCTTCGCCACACCAAAACACCATGCTACTGAAGGACGAAACGACCTCCAAATCAATCGCAAGAACAAGTTCCCTGGAGGCCGGAACGTCCCTTCTGAAATCCTACTAGAAATCCTCTCTTATCCTATCCTGCTATCGTGCTAGAATCCTCTCTTATCCTGCTATCCTACTAGAAATCTAATCCAATCCAATCCAATTTTGATTGCTGCTGCTGCTGCTGTTGCTGGTGGCTGCTCAAGCAAGAAACCAACAGGCAGACACCTTTTTCGAAACACAGCCGAAACGGCAAAACACCACCTAATTTCGTGCCGAAAATGACGCAAAATCAATCGCAAGAACAAGTTCCCTGGAGGCCGGAACGTCCCTTCTGAAATCCTACTAGAAATCCCCTCGAATCCTGCTATCCTGCTAGAAATCGAATCCAATCCAATCCATCCAATGTTGACTGCTGCTGCCAGCTCACAGCCGAAACGGCAAAACACCACCTAATTTCGTGCCGCAAATGACGCAAAATCAATCGCAAGAACAGGTTCCCCGGAGGCCGGAACGTCCCTTCTGAAATCCTACCAAAAACTTATTCTTAACCTGCTATATCCTGCTAGAAATCTAGAAATCTCCAATCCAATCCAATCCAATCCAATCCAATGTTGACTGCTGCTGCTGCCTGCGTACTGCTGGCTACTGGCTGCTGCTCGTTAGCTGGTGCCGCTGCTCTTACTGCTAGTGCTGGACTCGCTGCTGCCGCTGCTACTGCCACTGCCGCTACTCTTGCTGCTGGTGCGGCTAAACTTGCTTGTCTTATTCCCTGGCGCGCTCCCCCTTGCGTCTGCCGGGGTCGGCGGATATATATATATATATATATTATATATATATTATGTATTATATATTGTATATTGCATTCAATTATATATTATATAGTATATATTATATATTATATATTATATATTATATATTATATACTATATATTATTTATTATACATTATACATTATACTATATCATAATATATCATGTATCATATATCATCTATTATATATTGTATAATATATATATATTATATGCAGTATTCTACCATATTGTAGTACATTATATTATATCAATTTATATCATATTTCATTACATTATGTTATATGATATCATATCATGTTATATTATGCGTTATTAGATTATATATATATATATATATCATGTTGTATTAAATAATATTATGTTATGTCATATTATATTACATCACATTACATTACATTATATGATATTATATGATGTTTCGTATGTGTATATATATATATATACGTATATATACACACCATTGTTTTTAGAATGTTTTAGATCCCTATGTTCATGGTCACAACGGCGCCTCGTGAATCTCCACACTTCCATTGGTCGGCACGGAGTTGCTAAGCTGATCCTGCAGCGTCGTCACCTGCTGGGTTGGTGTATCCAGATCGGCAGAAATCGACAGCTGAAAATTTCAGCTGCCATTAAAACCATTAAAGGTGCTATAGCTCTGGGTATTCCAACATTCTTGATAGTTCTTGATAGTTCTGTGGCATATTCTGTGGTCTATAAAAATCTTGAGACTCCGCCTGCGCTCGAGCGGCATCCCTTTCTCGCAGGAGTCGAGCAATGACTCGACAGGCTGCATCGTGCTGATAGAGCGCGTGTGACAGCTGCTTGCGCGTAGTGTCAAGATTCCTCATCGAAATCATGCCACTTTGGTGCAGTTGGGATTCTGCAGATGTGCAAAATCATGGAATTTTAATTCCATAAGTTGGGTAATGGGGCCCCCATTACTATGGTTATATATCCAGGAATGATGGGCATAGGCACAATTGCCATATATTAAACAAGGTTTCACTAACCAAAACTATCACCATGTGTTTGGGATTATTGGGGATTTAACTATGAATTGGCCGACGCAATCATTGGAAGGAAATGCTGAGGTCGTGTCGTCTTCAGCTCATAGGTCTCTGACATCAGAGCATCCCACTCGCTCTGCAACAGTGTCCTGGTTCCGACTGCAGTTCTGATCTTCCTTGCAAAACAACTTGCTATATAACTGGGGCAAAGCAAACAACTCAGATCCAGAGCAACAGCTAGTCATCAGAGATACCTGTGGATGCATGCCTTTCACTATCTGTCCAACCCACTGAGCCCAAAACAGCATGCCAGGAATGGACGTTGCGGATGCTGGACGGGGTTTCACCACTTTGTTGACCTTCATGTCACAGAGGTCATCCTGTCACATAGTTGAAATGGTTCGGCTATACCCCACCTTTGGCCATGTCTACATCAGGACTTGGCCATGGGGAAACGACTAATCCTCACACCACCAGGCCTCATGTAGCTCCTCCTTCGTCACCGGACATTGACCAGTTTCCTGGATCTGTTTCTCTATGAGGCGTTTTTCATAGATCTGCCTCGGTGGAGGTGGATTCATGTCTCATTCATCAGATCATGAAGGTCATGAAGATCTCCAAAGTTTTTCCAAAAATCCTTATCAGACCTATCTCAGGAAACTTTGGAATCTCCTTTCCAGATCCAGTTCGGAGTCTCCAAGGTTGCAGCCCAGTTTTGGGCGCAAAGACGGGTTCTTCCGGAGCCACACCCGAGATGGCACACACCTCGGTCTCACAGCTGCTGAGCTCAGAGCAACATTCTCACGATTCTCGTATTGAGGATTTGACCAATGTGGACATGAAATCACTGAAAGCCTCGATAGCGCCATCAAAAACGGTGGATCTGCAACCTTCATCAGACCTCATAATGCCATGTCACTTTGGTTTCCCTATTTATTCAACATACCTGTCTGCCACATGAGCATTTCGCTGCTGTCTCTTGGTAAGGAAATGGATCCACTCCCTGCCTTTCAGCCACGGTGTCCCGGACAGCTCTGGCTATCCCTCTGCCTTGCACACCAATAATGGATCATTAAAGTCAGATCTTGAATTGGAAACCATTACTCTCTGATACTGTAATATCTGCAAGTCAACATATGGAAACTATTTCTTACAGGTAAATCATCTATATGGTAAATCAAAAACAATCTGCCTAGGTAACTAGACAATACTAGACACGTGGAACTTCCACGAAGCGCTGGGAACAATCTGCCAACTTTCAGCGTCCCAGGTTCACCTGCCTGGGCCGGCCGAACGCCGGTGGCCAAGAGAGTCGGGCACCTTTTTTTAGACAAAATTGGTAGCCGAGCCAACTGTGCAGCGATGGCAAGTCAATGGATGTCCATCGATGTCCATCCTTCAGCAGTTTAGCTAAACTTGGCTTCGCGAAAGATGGCTCCACAGTGGCACTTTATGGAGCCTATGCTCCACAATGGAAACCAGGTCGAATGATCAGAATGTTACCAGCGGTACGGTTTCTTTTCTTTGCTGACTCTGCTCACGCGCGGAGTCAGGGCTCGTTAGCATGTGCCCATGACACTGGCCAGTTTACTCATTGCGACCGGCTAAAGTTCAACCTTGTTGACTGTGTTGGGTGTCTGAAGCTTCAAAAACGTGCAAATGCCACGCGCGGTGCGTTAGCAGGACTGACTGATCAGCTTGGGTGAAACACTTTGGACAATCGCTGCTTGTTCAGCAGTGTGAAATCAAACGGTTCATTTTTATTGCACAGTAAATCCATGATTCCTCATGCATCAAAGTCAAAATGAAAATATCTAGCACAAACACGGGCAAATCAATGATTGCACTTGAATCGCAATCACATGTGCTTAGCTTTTCCAGTTGTGTCTTCATTCTCTTCACTCAATCAACATCTAAGCCTCATCATATCATATACAGTATCATATATCATGTATAATCATGATTATCATATTTCATAATTTCATTAATATCATGTATAATATTGTGTATTAATATATATTATCATATCATGTCTATGTACATTCCTTGCCAGCCTCACATGGCGATCCGCTTCCGTAGCTCCTCGGGCCTCGGTGCAGACTTTTCGACGCTGGCAGCGCTGCCGAACGACCGCCCCCGCAAGGGGCGCCGACATGGCGAAGCTCCAGAGCTCCGACTCACCGGCCTGCTGCGTGTCACCGGATGGGATGAACCACAAATTTAATAGATATATGATATATCCTACCATAATTATGTAACAGCGCATGTTTGTATAATGTATTTACATATAGTATTAATAGTAGTTAGTGTTTAATAAGTGATGATGTGATATATATATATATTATATTATATATTATTGTATATGTACACATTATGCATAGAGAAGGAAAATAATTAGCTGATACATGGACAGTGTATCACATAAATCACATTTGCCTTAGAGGCGGACACAGGAGTTGTCATGGAACGAGCCAGAACCAACAGAATTTTCTGTGCTACCATCTGGTTATTTAACATAGCCACGGAAAATCACCATTTTTAATAGGTAAACCATCTATAAATGGGCATTTTCCATGGCTATGTTAAATAACCAGATGGTATCTCAAATAGATAACATCAACAGGCAAGTTACCTTCGTCCCGAAAGAAAGGGTTAACTGTTGTCCCGAAACTCCTTCGTCCTTTACAAACTTATCACAGTTCTCTCATGCCTGGGGAACGCCCAGAACGAAGATCTTGCCCTGTGCCTCAACGGCAGTGCGTTCATGACAGCTAGTGACAAAGAAAGGAAAGATCAGTGGCGCTGTTTTTTGCTTCTCATAATTTTCTTCCTTCAAGTTTGGTTCTTTTCCTGGGTTGCTTCCCTTTCTCTCCTTGTTTCCTGGACCTGTGCTTGCTCTGCTCTCAGATCTTTTGGTCTCTTTTTCCTGCCCTCCAAGCTTTTACCCATCACTTTGAGGCGATCACGTGGCACAAGGACGTCCAACGATGAGTAGCCGGGAAACTCCAACTGCCAATGTATTGACGCCTCAGAGAGCTGGTTTTCAGTGGAGGTTGAGCACAGATAGCACAGTACCCGTCCTGTTCCACAATTTTACGCCCAACTTATGGCATGTTTTTTAGAGGAAAATGATGATAGACCGAGGGATAGACCATAAGGGCTTGGGGGTACCTCATATCAATGTCATCCAGACATTACGGCCGCCCTGAGCTTCTCACCGCTCTCCCAGAGCCCAGGCATTGGCGGCTGAGACACCTACGGTACCATGGGGTACCAACATATGCTGAGTGGAACTGGCTGTTCCTGTTGCACTAAGGTCACTAAGGGCCATAAGGTGAGCTACAACATCTCTGATGTATACATATGTATACCATGTGCGTCCGAGTGCTCTCGCCCCTTAGGACTGCACCAAGGTGTCCTGGGATATCTGACCTGTCAGCAATTTTCTGCTGTGGGTCGAAGTCTCATCTCCACTACCAGGATGCTGAGAAACAGGCAGACTGATGACAAGCTTGGCCCCAAGCAGGCCCTCACACTCTGTGACATAAGACACAGGACGGTTCTGCAAGTAAAATCAAGCCCTAAAAATCATGCATGGCAACAAGAACTCGCAGCTCATCAGACATCTGTTTTAATGATTTTAAAGAGTACAATCTAAACAATCTGTCCACATCGCAGTTTCACCTGCATGCCAGGAGCACTGAGAACTAAGGTGGCTTCTCTGCTGTCCCGTCCGTCGCTGCCATTGTTCTCTTTGTTTCTGTCCAGAAAGTGTGACGATGCCTAGCCGGGATCTTGCTGGAGAGTAATTAAGTGCTTTCGGACAGAGCCACAGTTTTCCATGATCGAGCATGAAGCCCGCCTCGATGAGGGTTGGAAAAGCCATGTCCGGAATGCCTGGCTTTCACTCAAAACACCGGTGCAAGTTTGACCAAACCGACAGAAACTGACATGTTCATATCCCTTGACATGTCACCAACAGACTTTAAACATCATGTCACCAACAGGAAAGGCGCTGCCGATCACACCTTGCCCTTGGTTCAAATCGCTCCTTTCCACCGGACATCCACGCGCTCGGAGCGTTTCCTTGGTGCCACGCCTTGACGCCTTGCTGACACAGCGTGCCGATGTCAGTCGCCCCGAGGTCGTCGCCGATGTCAGCAATGTAGGCTGGCAACGGCTACTCGCACCTGCCACTACCGGGACTACTGTGGGGGTGCAGATGGTGCAGGTGGGATGACTTTCATGGCTTTCATGGCTTTCAATGGGTATAACATGGTATAATACGGTATCAGTATGTATCAGTGTATAACTCCATGGGATTTTAACCCCAAAAATTTGGGACTATACTACTATACCATTTGCAAACTAAAGGATTTGATAAGGAATGCTTCAAGAAGCATCGACATCCACCGCACACTCTCCAGCCTAGGGGGCACACGAGGGATTGGTTGCTGTGGGCCTAGCTGACGCTGAATGATCGAGTGCTCATGATAAGATACCATCATCAATTGGACTTTAAGGCTCCTGCACCCAAAATCAATGCGTGGCAACCCGCTGGGCTGGTGCATTTGATGCCTCGGTTCGCAAGAATACCCAGGTCGAAATCCAAGATCTGGGCCACAGCTAAACAGATGGGACTTCTTGGGGTATCCACGCACTCCAGCAAGACCATCTGCGCGAAAGTGAGGATACTCCCCCTGAATGTTGTTGGACAAGTCGACTGCTCAGAGATAAGAAATACTTAAAACAAGAATGTTGAAACCCCCAACCTTCTGCAACTAGTAGCTCGTGTTGCCAATCATTTAAGTTGTTGTTCAAGCTTGTGCTAGGACCGCTAGGACAACTCAGGCGCCCACCAAGCACTTCTCCAGCCCGTTCTGTGACTCGCTCGGCTGCAAAGTCCCAAGTGAAGGGATCTGCACCTGCAGCATCTTTGTGGCATCTTTGTGGCATCTCTGTGGCATCTCTGTGGCATCTCTGTGGCATCTCTGTGGCATCTCTGTGGCATGTCATGTTCCATGTCACATATGTCACCATGTTCGGCTCGCCTCATGCAATGCAAAGCGCTCTGCAATGACCATGCTGCTGTGATTGTCGTCACACGCCAATCCAACGGGTTGCAGTGGGACCTCGGCATCTCAGGCTCTCAGTTTTAGGTGGGCTTCTCACCTTCTCCCAGGTCCCCAAGACTTCCAAGTGTTTTCACAGCAACTGACCTCACCTCTTTGCTCGGTTGAGGATGCCACGTGACGACCGAGGCTTCGCATCCAGGAGAAGTCGGAGAGGTCGGAGACCAGCGACACGTCGAGAGGCGGCAGAAGAACCGATGACTGGTGGAGCCATCCATGGGGAAAAGCTGAGGTGGCCATCAACAATAAGCATATTGACCAACAAGAATATTGATGGGTTTATACGGTTTATATATAAATTCATCATGTGGATAATATGTGATAATATGATGATATATTCGGAGATGATAATAATGTCGCAACAATATGTAAGAATGTGTGATGACAATGAGGATATCATGGGTATATCATGGTATATCAACATATTATATCAAGCAACAATACTCCAACAATAACCGGGTCGGATAGCCATCCCAGGTCGGGCCTTCATCCTGGATTTTTTCCTGGTACTATTCCTCAGCCATCCACAGAACCAGGGCCTTCATCCGCGAGTTCTGCAAGCCGCTAAGCGCCAGGCATGGCCAGAGGATTTACGACATACCAGCCAATGCCCACCATCCAAACTGTGACCAGAACTGTACTGGCACCACAAAAGGTGTACCAAGGTACCTGTCAGAAACTCTCCAAAAAAACTGCGCAAACATTCCAAACAGATTCTTTTGCCAACCCATTTTGATAAAATGTCGAAGGATCATCGATGATCCAGTGATTCCAGTGGAATGATGCGCCTGCCCTGGTGGTTGTCTGGATTCTTCTCTTCGATCTCGGCGAGGATGAAAAGTTTGGCCCGTAGCCTCTGGTGCGATAAATCCACCTGAGACATGCCAGAAATCACCAACTGGGTTAGGTTGTTTTTAGGGTGATCTTCAAAGAGGTTAAGTATGTACCCATTGCCAAATAAATTGGCTGAACAATGGTGCTGGGGTGAAAAGAAAGACTTAAGATTTTTTTAGATTGAAAAATCATATATCTCATTTATCATTTATCATATATAAAAATCCGCCGACCCCGGCCGACGCAAGGGGGAGCGCGTAAGGGAAGAAGAGGTACTGCCTTGCTATTACTACTACTACTACTACTACTTCTTCTACTTCTACTTCTACTTCTACTTCTACTTCTACTTCTACTACTACTTCTACTACTACTTCTACTTCTACTTCTACTACTTCTACTACTTCTACTTCTTCTACTTCTTGTACTTCTTGTACTTCTTCTACTACTTCTTCTACTTCTTCTTCTACTTCTTCTACTTCTTCTACTTCTTCTACTTCTTCTACTTCTTCTACTTCTTCTACTTCTTCTACTTCTTCTACTTTTTCTACTTCTTCTACTACTTCTACTACTACTTCTACTACTACTTCTACTACTACTTCTACTACTACTTCTACTACTACTTCTACTACTACTTCTACTACTACTTCTACTACTACTTCTTCTACTTCTTCTACTACTTCTTCTACTACTACTACTACTAGCAGCCGCAGGCAGCAGCAGGCAGCAGCAGGCATCAGTAGGCAGCAGCAGACACAAGCAGACGCAGCAGTAAGCGCAACGGCAGCAGTGCAGCAGCTAGCAGCGAGCCAGCAGCCAGCCTCGAGAAACGTATAGCAAGCTTTTTGTAGGAGATTTCAGAAGGGACGTTCCGGCCCCGGGAAACGCTTATTTTGGACTCTGTTTGTCCTTCAGGGCCATGGTGTTTCCCCGTCCGGGAGGGCCGTGTTACTACTACTACTACTACTATTACTACTACTACTACTTCTACTTCTACTTCTACTTCTACTACTACTCTACTACTACTTCTACTACTACTTCTACTTCTACTTCTTCTACTTCTTCTACTTCTTCTACTACTTCTTCTACTTCTTCTTCTACTTCTTCTACTTCTTCTACTTCTTCTACTTCTTCTACTTCTTCTACTTCTTCTACTTCTTCTACTTCTTCTACTACTTCTTCTACTTCTTCTACTACTTCTACTACTACTTCTACTACAACTTCTACTACTACTTCTACTACTACTTCTACTACTACTTCTACTACTACTTCTTCTACTACTTCTACTACTGAAGAGGTACTGCCTTGCTATTACTACTACTACTACTACTACTACTACTACTACTACTAGTAGGGCATTGCAAGCACACTCTTCGATTCGGCTTCCTGGCTGTCCAAGCTGCAGTGCAGAAATATTCCTTTGTTCGTTTTCTTTTGCAGGCAAAACAATGCTTGACAGCATCACATGATAAGCAAACGCGGTACAAGCTCCACCGTGGATTTTGATGCTTGCTTAAAGTGAGCAGCCGCATGCCATAAGCCACACTGTGCGCATCGATATGGTGTGCCTGCCTCGCGCTTCTGCGCTGTGCATTCTTTGCACACGCGGTAGGTTTCCTGTTTCCACTGTGCTTTGGTGAATGCATCTTTGCGTTTCATCTCCCCACACTCGTGGCACGGCCTTTCAGGCAGATGCAAGGGGGAGCGCGCTAGGGAATAAGACATTTGACCCTTGTTTTGGACTAGTGCAGCAGCAGCAGCAGCAGCAGCAGCAGCTCAGAAGGGACGTTCCGGCCCCGGGAAACGCTTATATTATTTTGGATTCCGTTCGTCCTTCAGGGCTATGGTGTTTCCCCGTCCGGGAGGGCCGTGTCTTTGTGGGCACAGCAGCAGCAGCAGTAGCTGCTTCTTGCTTTGCAGCAGCACAACAGCAGCAGCAGCAGCCACCAGCAGCAGCACCAGCAGCAGGCAGCAGGCAGCAGCAGGCATCAGTAGGCAGCAGCAGACACAAGCAAACGCAGCAGTAAGCGCAACGGCAGCAGTGAAGCAGCTAGCAGCGAGCCAGCAGCCAGCCTCGAGAAACGTATAGCAAGCTTTTTGTAGGAGATTTCAGAAGGGACGTTCCGGCCCCGGGAAACGCATATTTTGGACTCTGTTCGTCCTTCAGGGCCATGGTGTTTCCCCGTCCGGGAGGGCCGTGTCTTTGTGGGCACAGCAGCAGCAGCAGCAGCAGCAGCAGTCGCTGTCGCCCTTCAGTAGCATGGGGTTTCCTTGCCGAAAGCCGCCTTTTTGAAGGGTCAGCTGCACCAGCAGCAGCAGCAGCAGCAGCAGTACTCCAGTAGCATGGTGTTTCCCTGTTTTCCTGTTTTCCACCGGATGTAAAGGTAGCCAAAATTCATAGCAGCAGCCAGAGGAAAAAGCAGCCAAAATCATCATTTTCTATCGGTTTCAGAAGTTACGTTAGGCATTTTCGGGGTGCAATTTTGGGGCTTCTCCGTCCTTCAGAGGCACGGTGTTTCCCTGCCGGGAGGTGATTTTTTCCATGGTGTTTTCCCGTAGCCAAAATTCATAGCAGCAGCAAGAGGAAAAAGCAGCCAAAATCATCATTTTCTATAGGTTTCAGAAGTTACATTAGGCATTTTCGGGCTGCAATTTTGGGGCTTCTCCGTCCTTCAGAGGCATGGTGTTTCCCTGCCGGCAGGTGATTTTTTCCATGGTGTTTTCCCATTTGGGGAGCGGATGTAAAGGTAGCCAAAATTCATAGCAGCAGCAAGAGGAAAAAGGAGCCAAAAGCATCATTTTCTATGGGTTTCAGAAGTTACGTTAGGCATTTTCGGGGTGCAATTTTGGAACTTCTCCGTCCTTCAGAGGCATGGTGTTTCGCCCCCGGGAGGTGATTTTTTCCATTGTGTTTTCCTATTTGGGGACCGGATGTAAAGGTAGCCAAAATTCATAGCAGCAGCAAGAGGAAAAAGGAGCCAAAAGCATCATTTCTATGGGTTTCAGAAGTTACGTTAGGCATTTTCGGGGTGCAATTTTGGGGCTTCTCCGTCAGAGGCATGGTGTTTCGCCCCCGGGAGGTGATTTTTTCCATGGTGTTTTCCTATTTGGGGACCGGATGTAAAGGTAGCTAAAATTCATAGCAGCAGCAAGAGGAAAAAGGAGCCAAAAGCATCATTTTCTATGGGTTTCAGAAGTTACGTTAGGCATTTTCGGGGTGCAATTTTGGGGCTTCTCCGTCCTTCAGAGGCATGGTGTTTCGCCCCCGGGAGGTGATTTTTTCCATGGTGTTTTCCATCCGGGGACCAGCTGCAGCAGCAGCAAAAGCCTCTGCAGTAGCAGGAGGAAAAGGTAGCCAAAAAAATTATAGCAGCAGCAAGAGGAAAAAGGAGCCAAAAGCATCACATCATTTTCTATGGGTTTCAGAAGTTACGTTAGGCATTTTCGGGGTGCAATTTTGGGGCTTCTCTGGATAGTGCATACGCACAAGTATCAATATAGGAGTAAATTTAAACGTCAAGTGTCGATGTTTTAGCTTGCTAAGTTTCTCAGCACAGCCATGTTTCCCAAACAAATATGCCAGACATATGGGCACCAAACATCCACTACTTTAGGTTGTGAAAGACAGGGTATAGGTTGTGAAAGACAGGGTATACTCATAACTGGAAACAAGCTGTTTGACGTCACGTTTGGCAGTTTTGCGGAATTTTGCCGGGCAAATTTCTGACAACACAGTCTTGCGATTGTTAGCCAAGCCCTACCTAAAACTCAGCTTGGTTGGTTTGAACAAGAATCCTGGTTTCTCGTAAAGTCAAATAATGATCCAAGTACCTCGAACTTGTTTTTTCTGGCGCGAGCAATTGTTTTTTTGAGGAGCACCACAACAACAACAACAACAACAACAACAACAAGAATACTCAGACGACACGTTGGGCAGTTTTGGTACTTGCCCGCAGCAGGAGGAGCAGCAGGCGGCAGCAGCAGCAGCAGCACCAGCACCAGCACCAGCAGCAGCAGCACCAGCAGCAGCAGCAGCAGCAGCAGCAGCGCGCTAGTTAAGGGCATGGCGTTTCTCCTCGGCTGACGTTAGAGACTTTTTGTGCGCGGTTTTAGCAGCAGCAGCAGCGGCAGCAGCAGCAGCAGCAGTGGCAGCAGGCAATAAAATTTGTCGAAAAGAGACGTTAGGGACTTTGTTGGCGCGGTTTGGGAATTATGTTGTCCTTCAAGGGCATGTTGCTTTTCCTCTAGCAGGTGTTTTTTTTTCGAGCCTGTTTTCCTGCTGAAAGTTTTCATGCTGAGAGTTGAAGCAGACAAGAAAGCTGGAACTGGTCGTTTGTCATTACTTTGCATGCCATTGCGTTTGGCGGCACACGCGGCCATTCGATTGTTTGTGCTTGCTTTTGATTCGCCCAAATTCTTTGGTGCTCTGGACGCAGGTTCCACAAGTAGGGCATGTGTGCGAAAAGTGGGTTGTCGGCAGCGTCGGCCGAAGAACTCCATCCTGCACGCGAAATTGTTTCCCACACACGCGTCGGTGGTCGATATGTCCGGAAGCAATTGAAGTAGTAATAGATTTTTGGCAAAAAGGGCATGCGTACACATAAATCTTTTTTGGTGGTGGACTTTGCGCTATGTCTTTTGGGATTGCATCCTCATTTGTGTCTTCTTTTTCGCTCGTCATGGTCTGGCTCGCATGATCATGTGTGCGTGCTTTCTTGTTTGCGGCGATTGCTTCCCATGTCTCCTGGATAATTTGTCTGCGGTGAAGTCTTCTCCGGAGAGGCTCTAGGCGGGCTGTACTGGAAGCAGCAGCGCGCTTGCGGACTGCATGCTGCATCTTCGCAGCGTGGCATGTGTCGCATGTCTGCGTTCCATCCTCTTTTACCGAGAGTCGCCGGGAAGTAAAGTTCGAAAAGTGGCGCCGCGACCGCCGCTGGTGGCAGACCGCGCATTTCCAAGAGCCGCGGGTCTTGGTCTGGCATTGCAAACACAATCGACGTTTGGGATCCCGCGTTTGCCAAGCTACATGGCTGAAGTATTCTTTC